AAAACTCAAATCTTTACAATATATCATAACAAAGGCAGGCCGACAGAACTAGCTATTTACAACTTTATGGCAACTTTAACCTGCTAGGTAAATCAACATCCAAAATCAACCAAAGAACTAGATTAAAATCAAAGAACAAATATCAGCAAATATAGCTGTGTACTTAAACGCCCATACCCTTTTTAAACCCGTACCCGCATAAATTTTAAATGTTTTTATTTTGACCCGCCCCGCAACCGCATATATTTAAATTCGCACCGTCCCGCACCCGCACCGCCCCATTGTCATCCCTATCTGCTAGCCATACACTAACTCAAAATAGAGTTTTACCTTTTGATAAATCAAAACAATAAACAAATCATATTGATCATAATAACTATATCAAGATTAGGAGTATAAGCTCATTTAATTATTGAATTGTAGAAATTACTTTATATATTCAGTACAAAATATCTTTTCTCTACTTGGTCCTTCAATATGCGTTAAGTATACTAGCACAAGAAGTTGGAGTAAAACCACTCCCATAATCAAGATAAACTATATTTTATTCTTGTGCTACAATAATCAAGATACTTTGCCCAATAATATCTTTTGATTGTGATCATTATTTTATTTTTTATGAGAACCAATAATTTGTTAATCTTCTGTGCATAAGCTAAGACTTCATACACTAAATCGTCTACTACATAATTAAAGGAACACATATAACAAATGATCCAGTTAAAATAATACTTACTTTATTAAATTGGATAAATAAATAAAAAATTATTTTATAAAAAATAAAGCATAATACTATAACTAAACCGTATAATTAATAGTATATCCTAACACTTATGTCCACTGGTTGTCGAGTTGCCTCTTATCTCTTTCCTTATTGATTATGAAGAAAAAAAGGGGTAAAAAAAAAAGTCTCGTACACATATTGGGTCTGAAAATTCATACGTTAAAATCTAATAAATTTAATAAATTTATAATTTTTTATCGAACCTTTTGAAAGTGTTACTCAAAATGTTTATATATTACTACCTTATAAAATTAAATTAAGTTGATGAGTTCAATTTGTTAAGCACATCCGCCCCTTGGTCTTCCTTGTTGCTCTATTATGGGAATTAGGGGTGTATAAACCGAACCGAAAAATCGCATCAAATCGAAAAGTCAAACCAAATCGATTAAAAAACCGCCCATGTGTAACATATTAGGAATTGGAATATTAGCGTGAATTTTGGATTTAGGTATAGCATATGATAGCATTAGCATTTTACTACATGTCCCAAACTATTACTCATTCACTTTGTATTATTTAGAATGATGTCATTCAATTGTATATATTCGTATTATTTTTAGAGATAATTTACATACATATATAAGAAAATTATTAGCGGAGTAATGTTGAATAAAACACCTTAGCAAAGGATCATGTGCATGTTAGGGCTACATTGACCATTGGAAGGAAAAGGAAAAAAGAAAGAAGAATAAAGTTGCTGAAAGATTTTTCCTTCAACTTTTTGTAACTAAAAGCGGATAATATATTCCTTTGCTTTTGTGAAGGGAATATATGTTTCCCTCCCTTTCTTACTAAGATTAGAAATATGAGTTTTTTGTTCGGTAAATTCAAATATATATACGCGAATAAACAAAATAAAAATTTCACCAAATAAAATATGAGTTTTTTTCTTTTCCTTTCCTTTGGTGGTTGG